TTCTTAAATTACGAAAGATTTTGATTAAAATCGAAGTTTTAATCCGCTGCACTAATTCACCCCTCCCTCTTAGTGCCGCTCCGATCCTAACAGTTTGCTTGTGGATCCCGATTGAGGCGTTCTCTCTAACCCGTTCTCTCTTTTGGTGGTCCTAAGGGACAATAGGAGGCTTCGGGGAGGCTGACCTTTGCGGACGAACACGCAAGGGTGCCGCACGACTTAGGCAAAACCAGCTAAGTCCGTGACAAACTGGTCGATCCTCGGGAGGGGGTAGCAGTCTTTCGGGCATGCACGATTGAGACTGGTGTAGTCAACACACATCCTCCAACTCCCATTAGATTTCTTTGCAAGGACTACATTAGACAGCCATCACAGGTATTTGACTTCTTCCATGAAGCCTGCTGTCAAAAGTCACTCCACCTTTTCACGGATAGCTAGTTGTCTATCAAGAGCTTGACGTCGGGGCTTATGCTTCACCGATCGGGCATCGGGTGAAATGTTCAGGTAATGTTGGGCAGTCTTTGGGTCGACGCCCGTCATGTCGAATGGCGACCAAGCGAAGACGTCGGCGTTCTCTTGTAGGAAGCCGACAAGCTGGTCCCGATCTCGCTTGTGGAGTTCAGACCCGATTTTGACCGTCCAGTCTGGGCATCCTTTCAGTAGTGGTACGTCACAAGTGGCTCCGTTGGCTCGGGATGCTGGGTCGGTCTCTTTGTTTATCGGGGATCCCCGAGGGGTTGCTCATCCCTCGCCCTTTTGTGCAATGAGACCACTGTCAAGTAGCACCGCTTAGACTCTCGAGGGCTTCCCCAAGCTTCGCCAACCCTGGCATGGGTCGGTGGTGGTAAGTGGAGACAACGGCTCTGACTTTGTTGAGGGTCGGGTGACCAAAGATGGCATTGTACGCAGTGGGGAGGTCAACCACTAAGAATGTAGACATCACTGTCTTCGATCTTGGTGGTGCTCCCAAGGTTAGGAGCAAAGTGACCGCTCCCAATGGCGAAATCGAATCGCCGATGAACCCGATGAGCGTCGAGGTCATCGGCACCAAAGCTTCTCTGGCTAACCCAAGCTTCTGGAAGGCGTCTAAATAAAGTACGTCGGCCGAGCTCCCTGTGTCGATCATGATCCTCCTTACTTGAGCGTTGGCAATCCTGACCGTTATGACAAGTGCATCATTGTGTTCGGATCGCCCGGCCCCTTCGGCAGGAAACGTGACCTCAGGGTCGGGTCTACGTCTGGTAGCCTCGGCCGTTGTGGCCTGGGCGTATGCCTTCCGTCCAGACATACTGTTCCCCCCGGCCGCTGGGCCGCCAGTGATCATGTTGATCTGATGCTCGACGAGACCCTCTGGTTGGGGGGAAAGCCCCTTGTCTTGTTGGAGGTACCGACCGAGGTGCCCTTTGCGGATGAGCTCCTCAATCTGTCGCTTCAATTCGCGGCACTCCTCAGTGCCGTGCCAGCTTTGCCGATGGAAACGTAATACTTCGACCGATCCACGAGTTCCTGCGGATTTCTCATCGGGTTAGGGTTTCTAAGCAACCCTTTGTCTTTTATCTGGAGAAATATATCTGTTCGGGATGCATTCGAGGAGGGGAGTTGAGATGTCAATGCCAGCGGGTCTAATCAGTCCAATCTGCGCCTTGGTGTGGTAGACTGTTGCCCGTGGGACGGCTCCGCCCTGACCCTTTTGTGGTCCTCCCGCTTTCCGGTCATCCAGACCTCCGCTACAATGAACTGATTCACCCGCTGGAGCATCTCCGGGATCGCGGTGGGGGGTCGTTCCACTAGGGACCAGAAGAATCTGGAAGGCCACAAGCCTATCATGAATGCCTGCATCAATAGAGAGGGATGAGCGTCCGGCAACCCCCGGATATGCGTAGTAAAGCGATTCACAAAGTGGGAGAGGGACTCGTCCTTCCTTTGGTTGAGATTGAGGAGTAGTGCTACGGACGCCTTTGGCCGAGTGTAGGCCAGGAAGTTAAGCTCAAAGTCTTTGACGAGCTGAACAAAGGAGGTGATCGACCCAGTCTTCAGGCCACTATACCATGCGTGGGCCAGGCCTTTTAGAGTCATGGGGAACGCCTTGCACATCAAAACGTTCGAGGTTCCATACAGCGACATTTGGGCACAGAAAGTGGCTACATGGTCCGACGGATTGGTGGCGCCGTCATATGCATCAAGAGAGGGGAGCCGGAAGCTCGTGGGAACTATTTGATCCTGTATCTCGGGTACGAACGAAGACCCCTGGCGTGTGTCCGCCCCGAGCTCTCCTTTTGACTTGCGAACCTCCTTCTGCACTTCGTCGAGTCGCTGACTAACAGAGCGTAGCTGGGCTCGCAAGGAGTCTGTTGAGTCCGAAGATAACGCCTCGGGCTCCGGGCGACCGCTCGGGTTTCCCATCTTCCGATCCTCGGGTGGGGCCGACCGGACACGAGGCGATGGAGGGAGCTTCGGAAGTGGCGTTTGGGCCCGAGCGGATGGCTCCTATTGCTGTAGTGGTTGGATCGTAGGCGGGTGCGCCGAGTGAGAGACGAGTGGGATGATGGTATGCACCATCCCCGTTAGAGTTCGGACTTGATGAGCGAGGTCCTGGAAAGCCTCAGACGACATGGGCGACGGGTCGGCTGGGGCGCCGTCAGGTGGCGACAAGCCCAGGTCATTGAATATCCGCCAATAGCACTCTGAGGTTGAGGCAGGGTGTTCATCTCGAGGTTCTCTATGCGGGGGGTGTTCCCTCGGAGCCCCGATCGGGTGCGACCTCTCGGCTACGGGTTCGTCTGAGTCGATCTGTCGATCCCTCGACATTCATGCCCTCCTTCTAGCACCAAAATATTGTGGGGAACAACCTTGAGCCATGGCCTTGGGGCCGACGCAGCCGGGTTCGGGTCTGAATGTTCAAGGATCTTCCTGGGCGACCCTTGAGACTGCTGAGGTGGCCGACTGTGGTGGTTCGATCGCGACGGGACGACCGTTTCCTTTGGAAGGGAACTCCTCGCCTGGGCACGCGGTGGGAGGCGCTCCGCCTTCGTCCCTGCACACAGGTCGGGTCGGGAAGCTCGACCCGACCCCTCCGATGATCAAGTCATTTGATAGTGGTTAGGGGTTTTTGTCTACCTCTCCCCCTGTTCCTAGCAGAACGCGAGGGTTTTTATAGGGAAGTTTTATCGTTGCCTGATGTGCCCGCTTGCAGAGAGCAGAATCGTACTCCTGGTAACGTCTGACACCGGCGTTGGCGTGGCATGAAGGACCGGGCTCGCGCAGGATGTTAATGTGCCTCAATCGGCGTTCCGGTCTGTTTTAGCCAGGCATTGTCAAGTCAACCGAGGCACGAGGCGTCATCCAGGCGCAGCTGACATTAACCCGCGTCCCATCGCCATTATCACTATCACGTGGGCAATCATAATTTAGGGCAAATTGTCTTCTCATGCGTTCTGCATACGCCGGATTTTGGGTGCACTCCTTCCAATTCAGCTATGTATTCATTTACAAGTTCTGCTCATAATACACCTCCTGCAAGCCACCAATCATCTTCGGTTGAGATATTTGTTTTCTGGTTCTCTGTTCTCAAAGCTCATTCGGCAAAATCCATCTTGGTGTTGCTAGTTCATCGCAACTTTAAGTCAATACAACAAGGCCTAGAAAAAGGTGTTAGTCGTCTCTAGCGGTGTGTAGGTTAAAGCTATCTTGCATGAGAAAAGGCAATTACTAAGGTTGCTGTTGATAAGGTCATATTTAATGCCACATTGATTAGAAAGTTCAAGAGAGTTTGGAGAATCAATGGCTAGCAGATTGTAGTCATTTCAATGGCTTAAAGAGTTTGTACCAGTGAAAGCAAGAGCTTTGACTAGATCATATTTAATCTTTTATTGGTCGAGTAACTAGAGAATCTAATCTAGTCTTGATAAAGAATCAAATGTCCATTCAAAACGGATAATTTCTTGCAACACCCACTCAGATGTATCTTCTTTTATGCTTAAAACTCCATGAAGTTTGATGCTCAACGATAATTTGGAGAAGTGAGATGATATTTTTCCTTAATATTTCAAAGTCTGGATACAGTTTCAAGTAGTTACTGGTGTCAAATCAGCAAAATCTCAAGCTTTAAGATTCTAAAGGAGCATGTTTAAACTTGGATAATTCAGTACAAATGTTGCATGAGGATAGGATTTGGACAAGCATACAAGTGCCCGGTTCTTCAAGATTTCAAGGTGCATAGAATAGTCAAATAATTGAGATATAATAATCATGCTAATGTTATTAATTGGACTTGCAGCAGGGATGAAGACAATATATGCTAAGGCCATGCCAGGTTTTGACAGCCATCAAACAGCTGATTTACCTATGCCTTGTGGCACCACAAGCCACACTTGCTAGCAAAAATCCGTCTGTAAGATCTTCAAGGAGAGAAAATAGGTTAGTTTGTTTTGTTGCAAACTCGGATTTTTTTTTTTACTACATTTAATTTTCTAAACCCTGCATGAAAATGGTGCCCTGATCTTGGTTTTCCTTTTTCAAAACTAAAGTCTCTTTCAAGTGAAAAAAAAAAAGCGCTTTATGTAGTAGTTTATTTAGAGATTAATTCATGTTGCTCAACAAATAACATCGAGAGTTTGTTGACTTCATGAAGAACTTGTTGACTTTTACAGACTCTAAAAATTAGCTGGATTCGAGCCTGGTCAGCTGGCATTTTTAGTGCTGACATATCCGGTAGTTCAGGTTGTGTGTGTTGCTTGCAGGAGCTGCATCATGGAGTGGTGCAATGAAAAGCCTGAATGTCATCTCTCCTGTACTCCCATTACTCATTCAAATTTAGTTTGTATATATCATGCTGATTCTGAACATGATATAGTCAAATCTCGAGTACTATTGAATTGGGGGAATATAAATTTTGATTTTGTATGGCAATGGAATTGGAAGAAGATAACAGTGGAGACCAATCACCAGGTGAGAGAAGCCACTCTCCACTTCAAAGTAATTGTATTTCAAGGATATTCAAACATGAGCAAGATTACTGATGGCTCTCATGTCTATTTTGTAGCTCTAATCAAATTGACAAGATCGCGCCGTTTGAAGAATGAACATCTTCATCATATACATAAAATATGGATCTAGTCACATGTACCATAAAAGAATCAGTATTTCAAACATTACAAGACTCTTTGATCAAAGGTAATTTCCGCTCCCTTTTCATATAAGCTATCTTGATTTTTCCTGTAACATTACCATGACTTATGTTTCAAAAAAACCGGTATAGATAATTCTAAGCATTTTATTCATTTTCTTTTATTATTTTTATTTGCTTAATATAAATATGAGGACCGATAGTAGACATGCCCAAATGAAGAGATGGCTAAACAAGTATCACTTTCTAACATGTCCATGATTAAAAAAAAAATGATACTTGTTGTGTCAATTGTTATGTCAATCATTACTAGTTTTCTTTGGTTTGTAGCTCAACTCAGGTGCAACTATCATAGAATCATGATTTGCTAATGCATCTAGAGATTTAGTATGAAGCATTATGCATGATGTAGGCATAATTTTTTTTTGTCTAGTATTCCATTTTATTACATTAAAAGTGTGATAATAATAGAGGTCCACCATGCTCTACAACATCCTTTATGTCAAAGGTCCCCTCCATGTTTTAGGTGGTTTAATGCCAACCATTTAGAAAGCATCACCTCTTAAAATTCTCTTTTTCTTGCTTTAATGATTGAGCATTTTCTTTTGCTGGGAGAATTGGAAAATGGAGATATTACAGCCATGTTTTCTCTAACCATTAAAACAACTCGGTTGAGAAATAATGTTCTGTACGACCCATCATTCGAGACTTCAAGATAGTTGACCACAGAAATGAAAGATTAAATTGACTTGGCACAATTATTACTCGAAGGAGAAAGGACTAATCATGTTGGTTCCCAGATCAGAGTGCATCAACAGGTAAGAGGACTTGTACTAGTTTAGATGGTTAGCATGGTCCACTTGAAATAGTATAATAGTATCTACAGGACTGGTTTATGTACCAATTCAATAGTATAAGACTGCATCAATTGCATCACCTGAAGCATTTACAAGATTTCTTTTTTAGTTCTTCTGAGTTATAGTGGAAGAAGAGTTGTATAAGGTATTCTCAGAAGGTGAAACATGCAAATTGAGCATACACAACAATAAGAACATTTGTATACTGACCTTTTTCTGGACTCTACATTGGCTGAGACCTCTTATTTTTTATTCTTGAAACATCACAAATGTTACAAATATTTCTTTAGAAATTTTATATGCTTTAAAAAGGAAAAGAATGTTTAATCCGAGCTTGGTTGATTATGGCATGGTGATCACACTAACAATACCATAATTTTGAGAACCTTTCATTATTTACATCTAATTATTGAATACACCCATACATGTAAAATAAGGAAAGCAAGAAGACAATCACATTATTTTCATTACATCTATTTTCTCTCTAGAAGATAGTGTTAGAGACATGTGACAATCATTTGATCCCACTTGGATTAAAAGAACAAAAAAAATAATAAAATAAAGATCAAATAGATGATGAGACTGTCATCATAACACCAAACAACCAGTGACAGCAAGTGCAAGACATTTCTCCATGTCTTTTATTCATGATCATTTCTCCAATTATTTTCTGACCAAAAATCCCCAAAAAAAAAAAGTTGGAATAGGTGTTTAAAAGGAGATTCTTCAGATCTAACTATAGACAATAAGGGTGGGGAATAATTTTTGGCATTTTTTTTAAAGGACCATGGCAATTCATCAACTCTTTGTTATCTTCCAACCCCATCTTTAGGCCTCATCAGAATCTACCCTTTTTGGTGTTGAGTCAAGTCTACCACACTCACAAAGGTCCCTACTAATATGCTCTGGAATCTACATGTTCTCTTTTAAGCACCCCCACAAAAGCACCTAATTTTTCTTTCTTTTTGAGACATTGCCATATCCAGCCCAACACTTACTGTTGCATTCCCTTCTGGCCTCCAACTTTGGTTTGCCTCCATTGATCCATCCTTTTGTGCTTTTCCTTCGTGCGGTAAGGTCATTTCAAATGTCTTGTTCATGCTTCAACCCCTTTCAACTGGTCTTTCTTTTCCCCCTTTTTACAAGGAACTATAATTAGCTTTGGCTCAGAAGCATTTAAGTTAATGCCTCGGAAAAGTTGACACTCTTTCTACATGACAAAAAGGATTTTGGTTGCACACCTCACTTTGTTAAGGAATCCCCCCCCGCCCCCCTTTGCAAGAGCTACTCTTATGATTTATTCATGAACTAAAATTTCATAAATTGATGCATATTATCTCTCCTCTATCTTTTGTTACAATTTCCTTTGTAATTCTTTGGAATTTAAATGTTCCCACTTAAAAGGAAGAAAAAAAAAGGGTTTCATTCTACAAATTAAAGCATAACAAAACAAGTATGATCAATGACCCAAATGTTTAACTCGTGAGGTTTTGACTGCTTTTCCAAATGAATTGTCACTTCTTTTTTCTATTTAAAAATAAAATAAAAACATAATATAAAGCTTTAAATATTTTAATTTTGATGAATCTTGATAGATCGATCGATCAATAAGGTACCTCAATCATTGTTCGAGTCGAGAAAATATTTTTCCTTAAACATGCATTGTTAAGATAATCTGTACACACACACATATATATATATATATATATATATATATATATATATATATATAATTTAATTATTTTTATTATGGGAAAAAAGGCCTAATATAAGAAGGGTTGTGGCCATGCAACGTGGCATTCGTCGACTCAAAGTCATAAATGGTTTGTTGACGCTGTTGTGAGATCCAAGCACGCCACAATTAATCCAAGGCCCGGTAGACTAATGGGGAACCAAGGACGTGTAGAACCTGTGAGCGGGACCCACGCGCGGGGTGGAAGAACGCTTCGCCGTGCTGGGTGTGCTGGTGGGTCGTTGTCTGGCGGGCTGACTCGGTGACCGCGGAAAATAACTCGCTGGCTACTGTACGAGTCGCCCGGCTGTGTTACAGGTGGCGTTTGAAATATAATGAAGCGGTGGCGTTATCGATAATAATTTGGTAATCCGTGGGCATTTGTGTAAGAAGATAATGACATTAAATGTGTATATATTCATTTATTGGTTCTTTTCTTTATTTAGAGAAACAGGGGAAGAGAGAGAGCGAGGGGAGGGCAGCGCAGGGAGGGGCAGAGTGAGGTTGCATGCTGGTGGTCATGGCAGTTGGAGGTACTTCTTCCCTCTCTCCCTTCCTGAGAAAATGATCGAAGAAGACCAACGATGAGGAGGATTAGATGCTTGCTTATTCTGTGCTGTGAAGTGGAGGTGGTGCAGGCAGCAGAGAAGGAAGAGGTTGTGTGCGAGGGGGAGATAGAGAGAGAAATGCTTCCTTGCAAAGAAAGGTGGTTCATTTCTTGGCTCCGCCGTTCTTGGACCTATTCTTTTTCCTCCCGTCGTTCCCTTTGGTCGTCTTTCTTCTTTCTTGGGGTTTGGGATGTTCGGGCGAAAAGAGGCTCGTTTGTTGGTTCTGCATGTGGTGGTTTGAGGAGGTTTTGGTTCTTGTTGTGTCGTCCTTTTCGACTTTGGGTTGGACGAGCTTGGCTTCTTGAGATCTCTTGGTTCTTATGTTGGGGCGCATGTGTTAGGGATTGGGATGTGATCCCACGGTAGAAGGTGACTAGATTTGGCAGTGTTTGGTCTCATAATACTGATTGTTTCTGGGAAATTTATGGTTTCTTGGTCTTGTCTAGTTTGTTCCCGTGATTACTCGTTTATGATCTGTTATAGGAACAATTTGAGGGTTGTTTTCTGGATCCTTGATTTAATTGCTTAGACTGTTCGTTGTTTTATGGTACTTTCTTGTCCGAAAAGAAAAGAAAGAAAACAAATAGTTTAAGCGGCATCTTTGCGATGATTTTCTGTGTCAGACTTGAATTCTTGGTGGCCTTTTAATAACTTATTTCGAAAGGAAGGATTTTGCACGACGGTGTAGCGCTGTTTCACTGTACTGTAGTGAATGACGGTGCAATGACCTCACTGGAAATCAAGACCTTTCTCTTGCTGTTTGATAATAATAATAATAATAATAATAATAATAATAAAAAGATTCCAATTTGATAAAGGTAGTTCGCACTTGATGTTGTAAGAATCTGTTCATTAGTTGTTCTTTATATTAAGTTTGCAGCAAATAGAATCTTGCTGGTCATGAAATTAACTGGGGCCACTAGTCTGTTGGAGACATTGAAGCCAGATAGCTATAATCTCTTCTTAATTGAGTCATTCATTTAAGAATGTTTGAGTATCAAACTTCATCATTATGATAAAATTAAATGTGTAAGATGTATGGTATTTGTTTGATGACATCATTTTTGTTGATGAAAGTAAGAATATGTGTATAGAAATCTAGAAACACAAAATAGAAATTAGGATTTTAGGCTAGGTGAATATATGAATGACTCTTTTAATTTAAATAGAAACTGAAGTAATATAACTATTATAGATGGTCAAGATTATTTAGAATTTCTTGACATTCATCAACAAGAAAGAGAGACTGATGAATCTCATTAATTATGTGGTAGAGTTATTATAAAGAGCATATTCAAAGTCTTATGTGGTTGCATATTTACCTTTTGATTTCAAAAAGAAGTTAACAAGATACGTATATCTATTTCATTCGTAAAATTTAGTAGTTAAGAAACAACATATTCAAAATTTTAAACTGGCAAATTTTTTATATTTAGACGGATGGTTGGTGTAGGAGAGAGAATAATAAATGATTTTATTTAGTGAAAAATTAGGGGTAGTACTACTACTAATCAAGTACAACATGCGAGAAAATCTTCTACCGTGGTGAAGGCATTTCTGAAGAAAACTTCTAAATGTCCCATAAGATCAGGTCAGTTAATTTAGATTACAGGCACCAAGAAAGAGAGAGGACCAAAGAAGAAAAGTTCATGTGAGTTAACTTTATTTTAGAGTTTCTACCAAGACATCCAAAAATTTATTGATCCTGTGATTTAAATTTTCCCTCCAAGTATAATAGCTTGTTTCTTATTTCAATATTTATTCTCTATATCTTCCTAAATTTTCTGTTTAAAACAAGCATAATAACCAAAAAACTTGTCCAAACCACATATAGTTCATGTCCAAGTAGACTTGAAATATATGTGGCTATCTTTGTTTTAAATTTTTATTCAGTTATAAATTACTTTTATTTCATTGTAACAATCTCCAACACTGATACATTATGACAAAGGCAAGACTGTGGAGGTGCAAAGCTAAAGTGAAATTGAATTTTTTTTTACATCTGTCAAAATCAATAAATATATGATGGCCCTTGAGTTATCTTGGGATAGATATCACCTCAACATAACTAAAAGATGGGAAATGCTCCGTTTACATGTTGCCAAGCAATTCAGGAATACTTATTGTCACTCTTTGCTTTTAAAGATAGGCAATAGACTTTACCTTAAAGCCCTTTAGTTTGGTTGAACTTTGGGAGACTTCGGACGGTAGATGTCAAATGTTAAAAGACTTTTCCTACCTATTATTTTTCCATATTATACATCATCATAACTACCAAACCTTTTTTTTCCTTTTTTATCAGGTTGGCTGCATGAAATGTTTGGTTGACAATCTGGCATTAATTATTTAAAACCAGAGAATGGCTGTTTTGAAATAGATTTTTTTGTAATGTATTTTATTAGATAAGTTTTTCACTATGCTTCTTTTTTTACTGATTATTCAAGTTAAAATATTATCTGTGACCAACAAGATGTAGTAGCTAAGTAAACCTTTAAAGTTTAAAGTTCCATCAGTTACTGTCTATTGTTCTCATTCACATGGTTCTAATAGTTGAATTCTGTGGTTTGCATCATTTGTAGTCTGATTTTATGTGCAACTATCTACCCTTTTAATGCATTGGTCGTGATATCTTGTTCTCTTATGGATACAGCTTGATGTAACAATCCAAAACTGATGCAGAATTGAAGCATCTTGTTATTAAGATATTCTAACAAAGTTTAGAGGATATTTGGTCTATTCGACATCCAGTTGGTTATAGAATCATCTGTCTTGGTGGAACTCAGGCAGCTCAACCACTCGAAGTTCCTCATATTCCCAGTTTAGAAAACCATCTCTCTTGGTGTAGCTCAAGTAACCTGAATATGGACATCATGGCAGAAAATGGTAATCAGTTAAAGCATCTAGGCCATCAAATGCACAACCAAAACTCACCGTCTACTCAGTCAACTGGTCAACCCCATCAAGAAGTATCAGAAACAAGCGATTGCAACAACCACGAGCAACATATTTCATCACAATCTGGTATAGATCAGATTGGCATCTTGTATTTCATACTATACTTCTCTTTCAACATGCCATTTCACTGTATTTCATTGAAGTCAGCATTTTCTCCTTTTCTCATGCAATTTTTCCAGCAAGTATCTAGATGCTCTTAGACAGCCCCATTCTTGTGTTGTAATTATGCAGACCGACAGTTTTCTTGTAGTATAGTTACTTCAAACATATATGCAAACTTTTTCATGGAGGATGTTCAGACGTTTCACATGAAAGGTTCCACATGCTTATTCTGATAGATAAAATTTCACGTAGGAACTAACTGCAAATTTAGAGGTGTTCAAATAGTAAGTTCAATATAAATAAGTTCGCAAACTTTTACAATCTTTTCTGCTCGGTAGAGATTCCACATGCTTATTCTGCTATGTTAAAATTGAAGCAGGGACGAACTGCATGAGTATCCTGATTAAATTTTGATACAAGCAAATAATTTAGGTCACTGTTGTTTCTGTTTTGTCTCTTCTTCTTTTCAGTGTGGTATTAAAACAACTTAAGGGGAACATGATAACTTCTTTTGGCTTCCCCTCATCATCATAAAATATTGGAAGCATTTCTGTGGTTCTGAAACATCTTGTTCAGATTCCTTTACATAACATGTAGATAATTAATGGCATAAATCATGCTACACTGACTTTATGTTGGGGTTTTCATCATTCATTGATAGGGTGCTATAGATTTATTACGTGAAGGTGCCTGTACTTGTAGTTCTTTTAGTTGGTAACAATTTTCAGTGTCCATGTTTTCCAAGCCTGCATATACTTTTCTTTTTGCGATTTTAGGTGACTTCCTTAACATGTAGTGTTGATGATCTGATGCAATTGTTCTTTCCTTAGGCGTAAATAATACGCCAAAAAAGCCAGTTGAATGTCATATGAAGGCAGTTCTATCACTAGGGGCTTCAGAAGCTACCTATGCACCTCCAAAACTTGATTGTAGCCAGCCTTTTGTAAGTTTTATGGTTTCATACTTTTAGGTGACATTGATTACTTTAAGCACTGGGGTAGCAGCATGGTTATTTAATTTATTTTCTATTGTGTAGATCTGATACGTCTTCTGAAATTCCTGTGGCAGGCTTGTATATCATATCCATATGCTGATATATACTATGGAGGCATCCCGGCTGTTTATGGACCACATGCTATAGTAGGTGCTCCTGGGTATATTCTTGCAATTTCTAAGTTGGTTGACAAAGTGTTACTGCTTTGTTTCTGCTAATTAAGTAAATAAGTGCAACTATTTTGACTTTTCCAAGCAAGTAATTTACTGCTTGGTTTCTGCTAATTAAGTAAATTAGTGCAACTACTTGGCCTTTTTCAAGCGCCTCGGACAAGCAAAACAGAAAGTAGAAAATAGAAAAAGAAAAAATGAAACAAACAGAGAAAATAAAGATCTTTCACTTTAATTTGAGAGTACTTTTCTTCTGTGAGATCTGTGTTGTTATAGTTTTTCAATTATGTAATGTTGTTTAGTTATCAAAGAGCACAATATCATGTTGTATTTAATTAATTGTCAAAGTTTGGGAAACCTTTTTGAGAGTCTGTAATTTTGATTCTGAGGAAACCTTTTTGATAGTCTGAAATTTTGATTCTGAAAGGTAAATTCAAACATACATCATCTAATCAATTCAAGTGTATTTAGATTGAAACTAAAAATTGAATGTAAGTTTTTCTGCCATGAATAGTAGAATGAAGTTTGCCTGAGTCTTCTGAATCTCTTGCCTATCTATAAAGATGCAATCTTCTTCATATTTTAATGTGGATTTACTAAGTAAAAACAGTGGAAAGAGTTCTCTGTGCATATTGATCATAACAAACAGCCTTTAAATAAAGTTTCTGAATTTTGTCTTAGGCATAAAAATATATTAGAATCTAAGCAAAAAAATTCATTTGCAAAAGAATCACTTTTAAACACTTGGTTTGGTTAGCTTTGACTGAATTGGAGAAACAAATTGGTTAAATCTGAAACTGTATAAATCACCTTGAGGTATACATAATGACTTCACATGTTTAGTTAGTGTTTTGGCAAGGAAAAGCTTGAAGTAATGGACCTAACGGGACACTGATCATGAAAAACTCTTACCTCTTTGTTATAGTAATTGTCCATCTGTGGTTTAATTTCTTGGTGTACGACTTTGCTACTCATGTTAATGTCCTTTTGTGTGGGTTTAAAGAAATACACTAGCTAATGTATAGTTATTTTGACTTATCATCAGTTATGTTACATCAATGTATCGTCTTCGATCTCGCTAAAAGAGTCAATGTTTGGCTGCCCATGCTTTCAGTTTGTGGGTAATACTTGAATGAAAAGTTTTTTGTATTAGCTTACTAATATATTGTTTATGATTTTGATTTTATAGTTTATTTATTTTTTATTTTCATATATTGTTTATGATGTCTCTTTAATGTTTTTGATAATCAGTAGTTCAATATTTTGCTTATACTGTGTGATGCTTGTGTCCACGTTTCCAAATCAACTTTAGATATTAGTCAACATGGGACAACATCACAATCATGCCTTCATTTCCTTGTATTTGGAGTTGACAGTAGTTTGAGCCCAGAAACCCTTCGATTCGTGTACTCTTGGAGTCTGTTTGAAGTGAATCATTGTCGTCAATCGTTGTGTTGTTTGGGACTCCCAATTTGGTAATTTTATTTCCATCTTTCTCAAGTACCTTAAGGAGATGGTTTTCCAAGTTATAATTTCTGTTCAGCCTGCAATAGATTTGCTTGTTTTTTCCTACTTATATCATGAAAACACTTTTGCATCCTAGCCTTCTTTTTTCCTTGATTTTTTCTAAATTACCAAGTTGATTGATTGAGAATTGTGAAATTCTTCGGCTTTCTGCTTTTCTTCAAGTAAGCAAACCAAAAGTTTAGTATGATCCACCATCTTGTAATACTGTGTGCTACTTTATCGAAGATTTACCCTCTTCTAATAGCTGTATTGTGCTACTTTATTTTAGATTCACCCCCAAATGGCTGGAGTAGCATCCTATGCTCGAGTACCTTTGCCTACTGAACCTGCTGCTGAAGAACCCATTTATGTGAATGCAAAACAATACAGTGCAATCCTCAGAAGGAGGCAATTTCGTGCAAGGTTGGAGGCTCAAAACAAACTTATGAAATCTCGAAAGGTACAATCCTATTATAATATCTGTGCTTTTTTTTTATCCTTTCAGGTTTAAATGGTGAGGCCTGTGTAGCAATCTTCTAGACGTATGGTGATAGAAGTTTCTACTTTCTAGGAGCTTACCAACAATATGGACCAACAGCTCCTAAAAATTGCTTTTTGTTCAGGATTCCACCTTGCTGCATTTTGTGTTCCAAATTCAGTCTAAAGCCATATCATGCTTTCAAATTTTCAGCGTTAGTTCTCTTTTTCAGTTTCTAATCATATGCATAGCTGGTACATGAATTTTGCAGACTACTAGTATCTAAATTTTTCATAAAATATTTGCTTTCTCTTACTGTTCCTCGTTCTTGACCGTTATTGGAAATAGAGTGTTTAAGCAGTATCATGACCTTGTAGCTTATATTATTCATTAACATATTAATGCATGTGGAATACTTATCCATCTGTTGTTTCTCTTGTTGTTTTGTCATGCATGCATGCATGCCTGGGTCCATTGGATGCTTGTGTTTGCTTATTGAATGAAGAACCTGTTCCTTTCTTTCATGGTGTTTTTAGTATGGAAATTTAGATCATGTAAAATATCAAGATGTATATAGTCAGTTGATACTGTACTCTCTAACGACTGATCTGCAAGCTCGAACTTGTAATCTATCTTGTTCTGTACATTTACAGCCATACCTTCACGAGTCTCGACATCTTCACGCGATGAAACGGGCAAGAGGATCAGGGGGACGTTTCCTTAACACGAAACAGCAGCAGCAGCAGCAGGAGGATGCTCCGCCTTCTGCCATCATGGTGTGCCAGGATGCCCCGACTTCTAAATACTTATCCGGTGGTCATCCTACTGGCTCGTCTGCCACATTAACCACCTCCAACATGATGATGGCTTCGACCAGCGGAAGCAGGACAGTGCAGCAGCATCAGTTCGGCTTTTCTTCATCCAAGTACCGCCCTCATGCTACGGTGTCTGTTCAAGGTGGCTGCAGCAAAATGCAAAATGGCTCTGAGCATCGAGTCCCTCCGATGAGGTAAACCATGGAACAACCCATCATATCGTGTTTCACTGCGTTTGTTGCTTCCCTGGCAATTCATCCTTGGCTTACTGTGTTTGGACCAAAAATGGTTTGTTCCGTGTGGGTTGAACTATGTTTGCTTCTTGGATAATCTTTGTCCTGGATGTGTATGGTTACAGAAGCTGAACCCACTTCGATTTAAACCTTCATGTTGGTTCGTGTTGGTTGTGTACGCTTGAAGTCGCTGAGGATAGACTGATATTGTTCATGTAGTAAAATTTCGATAAAACGAGATGGAAAAAATTAGAAAAAAGAAATATGTTTATTAACTTGTGAGGATGTCCCTTTGTTATAGAAAATGTGTTTTTATTTGAATTATATATATATTATTTTAATTTGTTAGTGACGTGACTGAGTTAGTGGCAATAAACACAATGATGCGGCAATACTGTCCGATCCCACTCTTAATATAAATACTAATAACAATCATAGTTGTACCGTTGGTCGGTTCTTCTGTTGGCCCGTGGTTAGGCCCATTTACTCAGTCTTCACCGAATACCGGCATTTCTATTGGACGGAATTGTGGGGCAGTCCTCTCGTATCCCATCTCGGGCATCGTCGTGCAAGGAATGGGTTTGTAAGCGAGTAGAAAAGTGTTTCGCTCGTCTTAAATGTGGCTGACGGTGAAACGGGGCCGATCGTTTCCCTCGCTTGCACTCCGCACGGCCGGCACACGTGCGGAGAGCACGTGCTGTATTCCCGGTCCTCCCCACTCGACATTCCCACTATCGCCTCGCGTTGCGTCAAGTACCAATTTAGCCCACGATTCGACGCGTCGGGCCTTCATTCCCAATCCATCTCTCTCTATCTCTCGCTCTGTCTCTCCATCTCTCGAAGGCGCTCCGTCGAGGCAACTGTTCTACCTCGTCGTCGATCGAATCATTCTCCTACCGTTCTTCGATTTTTCTCTCCCTCGATCGCTTCGGATCCTCTCGAGGTTCTGAAGATTGAAGAAGATCTCAGCCGATTGCGGTTGACCCGGGGATCTCCTTTTTGGGCATCTTTTAGGGTTTCAAGGTCGGAATGGGTGGGAAGTCCGGGTGAGTTTGAGGAGATAATGGTCGAATTGGGACCGCGCAGGCGCGATTGCATGGGTGAAGAATGCCAGAGCTGCAGAGTGGGGTGCGTCGAGGGGGCCATGCTCCGCCGCCACCGACGGAAGCGGTAGATCGCCCCCTGCGGAATACGAGGGCACGGGCCGCTGCCAAGAAACCGGCGCCTGCTGAGGTTGCCGTCGTGGTTGGCCGTCGGGGGAGGACCAGGGCTGCGCCTTCGCGGCCGGTGGCCAAGGGGAGGCAGCGTGTGAGACTGGCCAAGGAGAGACGGGATTTGGTCGAGGAGGGGGAGGGGAAGGGATCGGATCAGTTGAAGGAGGTGATCGTGGTGGTGGAAGAGGAAGAAAAGAAAGGAAAGGAACGTGCAAATCTAGCGGAGGAAATAAGAGGGAAGGAAGTAATGGGTGACGACAGTGGTGGATTGAGCGCCAACAAAGTTGCGGTACAGGAAGAGGAGGGGAACACTACACCGTTCCCCAAAAAGGTATTCTCTTGTTTGGTCTTGTATTTGTTTGCTATCGTTTCAGAAAAGGCTCCATTCCTGATAGATCAAGTTCTTAGATGTAGTTGAATATTGTTTTTGTAAATTCCAGACTGCCGAATTATACATATCTCATGCCCTTTTTTTTTTTTAACAAATTACAATAATCTTTTCGTTGTTCTTTTCTTTTCCATTATTTATGTGATGACAAGAGGAACCTTTCTTCCTGCTTCAGAAATGCGATCTTTTGGCTGTCTGGCTCTTGAACAGTATCCTTTAGGCTTAACCCACAATCGTTTTATATGTGCACCCAAGTTAAGATGGATGTCAATAACTTTATAGTTACCATTTTCGATGACTGCCTTTATCATTTCTTGATGACACCCTGCAGAGCAATAGGATAATAAGGATTCTTTTGCCAATCCTGGTTTTTTTATGCACGTCCTTGGCAAGTTATTAATGATCCAAGGTACTCAATTTCACCTGGACAGACCGGTGCATACAAGTCGACACTTACTGGTTTGGGCATGAACCAGCACTCAGACCATCCCATTTCGGGCAGTTCATGTCTGGTATAAGGTTTTTCGGGCGGTAAGTCTGGTGAACTGAGACCAACCATGTGGTTTCGACCGATTATCAGGCCTGAACCGGGTGGCAACCTACCTGACTATGGGTCTCTTTCACAGGTTTAAACCAGAAACATTGAAGTCCTGGGTTTTTAGTACACATACTTGACAAATTATTTAGTTGTACGATCTATTTAGTGTTTTAGGGAGCTGTATATACTAAAACAAGTCTACTTCATATTTATTTTATCTATTACATAGTTACCTTCCAACTGATCGGATCCCACTCATTCCATGAACAACTTATTTTTTTACTTTGTGGTACAAATTTTCACAGAATTGTTATATTTCTTCCATTATATGATATACGAGCAACCAAACTAGCAAAGTGTTCTTTTACCTCTTACATGTTCCCCCTAGTTTTGCACCATACTAACACTACTCTTTGTGATGTACAAGCCACTATATAAATAGTCTGTGCCCTTACCATATTTTTCTTTGTTTTTCAAGTTCCCTTTCTGAGCAACTGGATGCATAATTTAGGCATCAACAGTTGTGTCTTACTTCAGAATAGATTTGTCTTATCTTTATCAAGAAAATAACTTTGTCGATGTTCTTTCTTTTCATTTAGTTCTTTGCCTTCTAGGTTTAAGCTGTGGCAGAAGCTGATTTAATTGTTCTACTTATTATTATCTCCTTTGTTCTGTGCTTTTGCATACTTGTTAGTCCATGTTGTGACAATTAAGTATACATTGCAATATTTGTCCCTGTTGTAGTAGTATATTGCATTCTTTCTTCTTGTCTATACACTCATTATGTCTGTTTCAATGCTTGTTATTTCCATATCCCGTAATGACATTGTTAACTTTATATGGTCTAGAAGTCAATAGGAGTTTGATTCTTTGATATTTTGACAAGCAAACTTAGTCTATTGGGTTATTTTTTATCTATATGGGGTCCAGGTCCGATAATCTGTCGACTCGATACCACCTGTCGGATAGAAGTTTCGTGGAAGAGAGAACTATCGCAGGAAGATTAAAGCATAAAACTGAAAGAAAATAACCTCTATTGCTTGTAAAACTAAAGTGCTAACACAGAGTTGAAAACAACAGAATTAAAAGTGTGTAAAGAGACTAAAAGGCACGTAGGGCATAGGTTATCTTCGGACAGCACTTGGGTGCTCTTGGCAAATTATGTATCGTTGCCAGTTTTAGTCTTCTCCTTCTGTCTCGCTGCGAGAACCTCCTCCTGAGGTTCGGACATCAGAAAGCAGGCTTTGGAGGTTTCTCACAGCATGGTTCATCTTACTGGTCTATACTAGTGTACTGATCGGCTATTGGTACGATACATACCAAACCATACCAACATACTAACATATGATACAGTGGGCCATATTGACAAACCGATATGTACCGCCCATACTAGTCTTCTATCGGACCGATACGTACCACCCATGTCGGGCGGTACACTACGTTATGGTGAACCTTGTCTCATGATTGCTGGGTGGAGTTTGATGCAAAGATTTGGCTGTTGGAACTCGAGGAAAAGGCTGCAGTTGAAAGGATTGGCTGCACCTTGTAGAGTATTTACCTTCTTTCTTCTCCTCTCTTCTCTTCTTTTTTCTGAGGTTGGAACAGCTAGGGCCAGCTGGGTACTTGTTGGGAACTTCTTTGATTGCCTTTAGATGGGGATATATCCCTTGTTTTATAGGGTGAGCGGCACCCCAAGTCTTTAGGGTTTAAGGACTTTACTTGTATGGTGTGCACAGCTAGTACTAGTAGGGCTGCCGCACCCTCCTTGCTCGGTGGCTGCTCCGATTTGAGTGAGGGCTGCCCTAATCTAAGTCCTATTAGGACTTGGATTTAGGTAAGTGAGATGCTGGGACTTGGGCCTTGCTTGGCCAAACAGAGTTTCAAGTCTTTAAGGGGCCCTTGGATAGAAATCGGCCAAACTGGTTGAATGGTGTTGAGATCGTCCCAGATCAAATTTTCAAACCTAGACTTTCAGTCAATATTATATAGGTTTGTGGCTTTTGTTTTTTGCAAATCCATATATTCTTCTGTTTGTGTTGGACCATGCTTTTCTTGTGAGCACCTTTGTTAACTCTACAAAGGTAATCTCTATGCAATCATTGTTTTTGCACGAACTATCATCTATTTCTAGGGCATATAAGGTCACCTAATATCTGCTTTTGGCTCACTACTGGTTTAATAATTTGCATCTTTCTCACTTTTCCGATGACTGTCATTTGAGTTGGAGTAATCAATGTAATAAAGGGTCTTGCTTCTAGTTGCTGGAGCCATTTTCTTATGTTAATGCTGTCTGTGGTCTTTGTGGTTCATAAATTATGTCTAATTTTATCATCCTGAAAGGATATATTACCATGTGTTTCAGAATTTTTTTCTTCTTCTCTTTTTGTTTAACAGAATGTTACGGCAACTTGCAAAAATCTCTCTAGATCTTTTACTGTCTTTGTTTGTTATCATTCTTTGGCGGTGCCTAAATTTGAGAATAAAGGTCAATCTACATTTGAAATAATTTCAGGTTCAGGTTGGTGGTTCTCCCGTATATAAGGTTGAAAGGAAGCTGGGCAAGGGTGGGTTTGGCCAGGTTTTTGTTGGTCGACGAGTCACTGGTGGCATTGATCGAACAATGGGTCCTGGTGCATTGGAGGTACTGTTTTATTTTTCTATCATCTTTAGGCTAATGGAGCAGAAGCAATTGAAAGAGCTTATCATGCATCGCTATTATATATTTTGCTATTTGATTAAGGTTGCCTCTGATAATAGGTTGCCATCAAATTTGAGCACAGGAACAGCAAAGGCTGTAATTATGGCCCTCCTTATGAATGGCAAGTTTATAGGTTCGTATAGAATATCCTCCCTGCAAAAGAATTTGATGCTTCTTTTCCTCTCTAGTAATAGTTCTGACTTATTGCTGTGGCCTTTTATTTAGTGCTCTCGGTGGTAGTTATGGAGTGCCAAGGGTACATTATAAAGGTCGGCAAGGTGACTACTATGTGATGGTATGGTTTCTTCTGTTTACTCGTGCATTATTTTGCATTCAGCCAGTCAGATAGTTGGTGTGCAACTGCCTCTATTACTTGATTCATTCAGCATGGAAAATTGTACAACAAACTTTCTTGTATACTATGCTGACTTACTTTG